CTCGGGTGCTTATAAGATGTTCCTAGGGATGTTACAATATAATTTTATGTTATTAAATATGCCATTATAATTATGTAATAACCAAATTTTCAACCTATAATGTTTGAGATTTTTTGGAAACTATGGTCTATTAGTACTTAATTGTTTTATACACCTTACTTCTGATAGAATGGAGTATACGCTATGACTACAACTTTTATAGATGTTTTGGTAAATTAAACTAATTTTTTTCATATTATATTGTTGCATCCCTATTCTTCAGTCAGGTTTTTTTGTGCTTACAATTTGTGATAACTGTGAATAACTGCTTAAAATTACACCCAAATGGAGGATGAATTTTTTCTTCAGCAAAAGTAGTTTTGATTAGAACTCTGTTTCAGGCCACAAAGAATCATGTAAACATAATAGAATAATGTAGCAGGACCTTAAATCTAACTCCTAGCCTTCTATTTAACACACAAAAAATTAAATTGAAAAAGAAAAAAAAAAGGCAGAGATGTGATTTTGCTTACAGCTGCAGGACTCCGGCAATAGGGTTTTGAAAGATGTAATTTTAAAATGTGTTTGTATGGACTGTTTGTTTACATTTCTTTAATAAAATAAATAAATAAATAAAGAGGAAACAGTGAAGTAACTGAGGAAGTTTGAGTGATATCAGAACTCAAACTCATTGCTGTAGAGTCATAACAATTCCTTGCTAACCATCCAGCAGGTTTTCAGAAGTTGTGACTCTCACAGAAGGAGATCGCCCATCTTTCTCCCCCAGAGACACTGGTGGATTTGAACAGGCAGAGAAGCACTGCCTTTGGGCAAGCAGCATAACTCCCTCCAGAGTGACACCCAAGCTCAAATTGTTTGCATCCACCAGTAAACCTACTGGTGTCCCCACAAGTGTGGTGATTAGATTGAAGGAGTTGTCCTTTTAGAAAAGAAATACATAAATAAATAAAATTTATTTTAATTGTGATTTTAACAAATTTTTACAGATAAATTAGATTTTCATTCGTTCACTGTTGTACATTTTACTCCCTCACCTTCCTTTCCCCTCCCTCCAGTTCACTTTTGATTTTAATATTCATTTATTGTTGCGCAATTAATTGCCAGTCTCCCCTCTTTCCAACTAAATACCTTCTATTCTGGGCTGTTGTCATATGTATAATGCCTAATTATATTTTTTATAATTCAATAATAGTTTTTTAATAAGATTTTTTCATTTTAATTGTGATGTGATTTTTAGACAGCCTTTCTTTCATCAGTTCCAATGCAATGGTCATTATCTATCCACACTTATCCTATCCTCCTCCCAACCCCCCATGTCAGATCTGCTTTACAACAGTGGTGCTATGCAGTATTTGTCCTTTTGTGACTGAGATATTTTGCTCAGCATGATGTGCTCCAGGATCCCTCATGTTGTGTAATGTACTACAAGTTCATTGTTTTTCAGTGCTGTGCAGTATTCCATTGTATGAATATACCAGAAATCAGCTCATCTCCCTATGCTCAACTAATTTTTGACAAGGAGACAAAATCAATTAAGTGAGGAAACAGCAGCCTTTTAAATAAGTGGTATTGTGGGAAACTGGAAAACCATCTGTAGCAAACTCAAGCAAGACCCGCACCTCACACCATATGGGGGGGGGGGCGGGTAAGAACCAACCAAAAACTTAGGATGGACGGAGGACCCAGGAGTAAAACCAAAGACTGTAAATTTCGTTAGAGAAAAGCTTGGAAAAATTTAGAAGCCCTAAAGGACCTGTCTTAATGTTAATTATCTCCTTTTCTAGACTTCCCTACATTTTTAGGTATAGATTTGTTTGCTTCAAGCTATAAAGCTTATTTTAGGGGCTGATTTTAAAATATTAGGGAGCTTTAGTGGCGAAGTGGTAAGAAGCTGTGCTGCAATCCCAAAAGGCATGCAGTTCAAATCCACCAGCTGCTCCATGGGAGAAGGACGTACAGTCTCCTCTCATGTGATTACTGCCACTGAAAACCCACTGGAGGGTCAGCTATGAGTCCATCCATTCCAACTCAATGACACACAACAGCACCACATTTTAAGAATCTTATTCTGGTCTCTACAGGAGCCCTGGTGGAACACTTGTCTGCTAGCCAAAGGGTCAGTAGTTCAAACGTATCTCTTGCAAAAATTACAAAAATACCC